TATAAGCAACCATGCACAACAAACTGGACAACTTAATGAAATGGAGAAATTCCTAGAAACACAACCTATCAAGACTGAATTGTGAAGAAATAGAAAATCTGACTAGACCTATAACTGGTATGGAGATTAAATCTGTAGTCAAAAACCTAACAACAAAGAAAAGTCCAGGATCAGATGGTTTCACTAATGAATTCTACCAAACATTTAAAAAATAATTAACATCAATTCTTCTCAAATTCTTTCCAAAAAACAGAAGAGGTAACTCATTCTGTGATGCCAGCATTGCCCTTCAGACAAAGACACTTGTGAGAAAACTACCAACAAATATACCTTACCAACACTGATGCACACATTCTCAATAAAATACTAGTAAACTGAATTCAACAGCACATTAAAAGGGTCATACACCATGACCAACTGAGGCTTATTCCTGGAATGCAAGAACTGTTCAACATATAAAAATCAATCCATGTAATACATTAATGGAATGAAGGGGAAAACTACATAATCATCTCAACTGATACAGAAAAAGCATGTGACAAAATTCAACACACATTCATGACAAGAACACTCAAAAAACTAGAAATAGACTGGGTGCAGTGATCACACTTATAATCCAGGACTTTGGGAAGCCAAGGCAAGAGAATTGCCTGAGCCCAGGAGTTCAAGACCAGCCTGGGCAACATGGTGGATCTTGTCTCTACAATAAGTCAAAAAACTAGCCAGGTGTGGTAGCACGAACCTGTGGTTTCAGTTACTTGAAAGACTGAGGTAGAAGGATTGCCTGAGTCCAGGTCAAGGTTGCAGTGGCCATGATTGTGCCAATGCACTCCAGCCTGGGTGACAGTGAGACTCCAACTAAAAACAAACAAAACAAACAAACAAACAAAACTAGAAATAGAAGGAAACTACCTCAACACAATAAAAAACATATATAAAAAAATCACAGGGATTATCATATTCAATAGTAAAAGACTGAAAACATTTTTTCTGAGATCAGGAACAAGGCAAGTATGTCTGCTTCCACCACTTCTATTCAACATGGTAATGAAAATCCTATCCAAAACAATTAGACAAGAAAAAGAAATAAAAAGCATCTGAATGGGAAAAGAAGAGGTAAAAATTATCTCTGTTCAGAGACAATATGATTGTATATGTAGAAAACTCCAACGAGTCTACAAAAAATCCTGTTAACACTAATAAAATTTAGCATAGTGGTAGGATACAAAGTCAACACACAAGAAAGTTGCATTTCTATATAGTGGCAATGCACAATCTAAAAAGAAAGTATAAAAAAACATTTCTAATTACAATAGCATCAAAAAGAATAAAGTACTTAGGAAATGACAGCCAAAGAGGTGAAAGACTTGTACAATAAAAACTACAAAACATTACTGAAAGAAATTAAAGAAGACATAAATAAATAGAAAGACATCCCATGTTCATGGATTGGAAGACTTACTATTGTTAAGATGTCAATCCTACCCAAAGCAATGACACATCCCATTCAATTCCAACCAAAATCTCAATGATGTTTTTTGCAGAAACAGAAAATCTCCTTCTACAATTCATATGAATCTCAGGGGATGGTGAAACTGTCTTAAACAAAAAGAACAAAGTTGGACAGCTCACATTTCCTGATTTCAAAACTTACTACAAAGCTACAGTAACCAAATCAGTGTAACTTTGGTATAAAGACAAACACATAAACCAAAGAATAGACTAGAGAGCCACAGATAAACCCTTACATATATGGTCAGATGATTTTTACTAAGACCATTCAATGGGGGAAAAGGTGGTCTTTTTCAACAAAAGGTGCTAGAAAAACTATATCCACATGCCAAAAAAAAAAAAAGAAGTGGAACCTTTACCTAACATCATATAAAAAAATTTACTCAGAATGGAGTGTTGGAAGCGGGTGTGATGTGGGCTGCAGACCAGCACTGTCACTATAGCAGGTCTTGAGTAAAGGCCCCAAGCAAAGTCAAGGTCTTGCTTTTTTTTTTTTTTTTTTGAGCTGGAGTCTCACTCTGTTGCCCAGACTGGAATGCAGTGGCCGCTCCCGGCCACGGCCACCGCAGCCTAGACCTGCTGGGCTCCAGCGATCCTTCCACCTCAGCCTTCCAAGTAGCCAGAATTACAGGCACACGTTACCACACTCGGCTGTTTTTTTGATTTATTATAGAGATGAGGTCTCGCTGCCCAGGCAGGTCTCGAACTCATGGGCTCAGGCAATCCGCTCACCTCAGCCTCCCAAAGGAGTGGGATTACAGGTTGAGCCACCGAGCCGGATTCAAGGTCTTGCTTAATGTCCCCAAGCTCGTAGGCAAGTTCTAGCTTAGTAACTCTGCATTTTAGTCAAAGGCGAGGGATGCAGCCTGCTACAAAAAATAGTGTCTCAGATGCCCACACATCTAGGAGCATATAGCATAAATAAAGCCTTAGCCACAACAAGACAACTGTGAAACAACTTGCTTTTAGGTAGCAACAAAATTTTGCTATGGTTCCCTTACAGACCTTGAATCCTTTCCAAATTTCTTTGTGCTTAATTATAAAATAAACATGCTGAGCTAGTTTGGGGCCACTTCTCCTCCATCAGAGGAATGTGTCCCACCTGCCGCAGTTTTTCTTTATGTCTTTGTGTCTGTGTCTTTCTTAATCTCTCACTGGTCTCTCTCAGGACCCTCAAGGCAGCTGTATGGCCGTGGGAATGGAGCAATGACCTGAGCATAAAGAGCTAAAACTACGGAACTGCTAGAAGAAAACGTAAGTGAAAAGCTGTGAGACATTAGATTTGGCAATTATTTCTTGGCTATGACAACAAAAGCACAGATAACAAAAAAATAGACAAGTTGGACATCATGAAAATTTAAAAATTTTGTGCATCAAAGGACACTATGAACAGAATGAAAAGTCAACTTATAGAATAGGAGAAAATATTTGCAAGTCATATATCTGAGAGGCATTGTTATCTAGAATAAGTACAGAATTCCTGCAACTCAAAAACAAAACAAAAAGCAAATTTTAAAATGGGCAAAGGATTTGACTTAATATTTTCCTAAAGAAGACATACGTGCCGGGCTCGGTGGCTCAGTCTGTAATCCCGCGCTTTGGGAGGCTGAGGTGAGTGGATTGCCTGAGCCCGCGGGTTCGAGACCCACCTGGGCAACTTGGCAAGACCTCATCTCTACAATAAATCAAAAAAATTAGCCGGGTGTGGTAGCGCACACCTGTAGTTCCAGCTACTTGGAAGGCTGAGGCGGAAGGATCGCTGGAGCCCAGCAAGTTGAGGCTGTGGTGGCCGGGAGCGTCCACTGCACTCCAGTCTGGGCAACAGAGTGAGACCCCAACTCAAAAAAAAAAAAAAAAAAAAAGACATACATAAAAAGATGCTCAGCATCACTAATCATTAGAAAAATACAAATCAAAACCACATGAGATGCTACCTCGCACCCATTAGGACAGCTATTACCAAAACCAAAGAAAAACAGAAAATAACAAGTGTTGATGAGGAGACGGTGAGATTGAAACCTTTGTGCATGGTTGGTGCAGAATGTAAAATAGTGCATCCATTGTGGAAAATGGCAGGGTCATTCCTCAAAAATTACACATGAAATTACCATATAGTCCAGCAATTTCTCTTCTGGGTATATACCCAACAGTGAAAGTACAGACCTGAATAGGTATTTTATACACTCGTGTTCATAGCAGCATTATCCACAATAGTCAAAATGTGGAAGTAATACCATTGACAGATGAGCAGATAAACAAAAGGTGGTGTAGACATACAATGGAATATTAGTCAGCCTGAAAAAGGAAATCCTGACGCATGCTATGACACGGATGAACCTTGAAGACACATATATGCTCAGTGAAATAAGCCAGTCACAAAACAACATATGCTGATTCCACCTATACAAGGTACCTAGAAAAGGCAAATTCATAGAAAGTAGATGAAAGGACATAACAGGGAGTCAGCATACCCAATGAACAGCCATTTTGACACTACCTAGTTCTCTCATGTTTTCTTAGCAAAATTACCCAGCCTGCCCTCTAATCACTAGTCAGGGACAGAACTGGCTTCTCAGAGGTAGTCATTGGTAATTGTTTTACAATCCCCTCCCCAGCTTGTTTTGTAAGCAAGCTAACCTAATGACACAGACCCCATTAACATGGCAAGTCATGTGATTAGCCCACACATCTGCCTACTGTCCATCACCTGACATCAGTACCTGCACTTGCCTGTCCCCTCGGAGATGACATGGAGCAGACCACCGGCCAATCACCTTAACAACCTGGCCCCTACTATTGCCAGGCCATGTTTCCTAGCTTTGGCCCGTTCCCCTACCTTGGGGAGGTGAGTCTCCTCTCGCTCATTTACTTTTAAATAAACTGTATTTTCCAATCTAACTTCTGTACGATTCTCTGCATCATTTCTGCTACACAGGATTGCAGGCCAGACACCCACCATGGGGCCTGACCTAACATTTTAGAGGCCCTTAACTGGGATTTTTAAGCTAATAGAATGGGAGTGGGTGGAGGGGAAAGGGAGAGTTACTATTTAGTGGGTAGAGTTTCCGTTTGAGACCATGAAAAAACTGTAGAGCTAGATGGTGGCGACAGCTGCACGATATAAATGTATTTAGTGCTACTGTACACCTAAAAATTGTGAAAATGGTAAATTTCACATTATGTATAATTTGCCACAATTAAAACACACACCCTGCATGAGCCAGCATCCTCCCACCCCCAGTGCCCCACGCTAAAGGCAGAAGCGCTTTTGCGAGCCACCAGGGAGCTCACACCGCACAGCCACCCTCCCCAGCATCCTCCCAGGAAAGGCTCTGTGTGCGGAGAAGGTAGGCGCCAGAGGGTGTGTGCACACGACAGAGCGGTGCCGTCATTGCCACAATCCAGTTTTAGACACTGACATCACCCCACTGAGCCGTTCTGAGCCCCTGGTTCCGCATCTATAAATAGATCCAACACGAGCCCCGCACATGACAGGACACCAACAAATCGTACCCATAATTATACTTGTTGATGTCATGTTTATGGATCATTCTCGTTTCCAAAACGCAGCCCCGGCTCGCGCCCCCAGCCTGCACGCCCGCAGAGGCGCCGCCAGCAAGGGCGGAGGGGGGGCGGAGGCCACGCCCCCCCCGGAGCCGCCCCAGCCGACCTCCTGCGATGGGGGCTCGGGCTTCTTCCCGGCGCCCTGGCAGCGGTAGGGGGCGCGGCTCCGGGCTGGATTGGTGATGCCTGGGCGCTGCGGGCGCCTGCGCAGTGGTGAGAGCCGCGCTCGCGCCGAGGGTCTGCGGGCGATCCCTGGAGCGGGCCGGAGAGGGACTGCGGCTGCCCGACCCCGGACGGCCGCGCCATGGCGGACGAGGAGCTGGAGGC